AGAAAATGATACAAAAATAAATGAAACAAAGAGTTGTTTTTTTGAAGGAATAAATAAAATCGATAAACCTGTAGTTAACCTTATCAAAAAAAGGAAAGGCTCAAATCCATGCAATTAGAAATGAAACAGGTGAAGTCACAAGAGATCCAACAGAAATCCAGAGGATCATTAATACCTACTTTGAGAACCTGTACTGTAATAAAATGGAAAACCCAGAGGAAATGGACAGATTTTTAGATACTTATGAATTACCGCAGTTGAACAAAGAAGATAAAAACATTTTAAACACCCCAATTGCAATCAGTGAAATTGAAAATGTAATTAAAAGTTTACCAACAAAGAAAAGCCCTGGTCCCGATGGATTCACTACTGAATTTTACAACACATTTAGAGAAGAACTACTGCCTATACTCTTCAAACTTTTCAATGAATTTGAAAGGGAAGCAATACTTCCAAATTCATTCCTGGAAGCAAGTATCACTTTAATTCCCAATCCAGGGAAAGATGCAACTAAAAAAGAGAACTACAGGCCAATCTCCTTAATGAATGTAGATGCAAAAATCCTTAATAAGATAGTAGCAAACAGAATACAGAGGATCATCAAGAAGATCAGGCATCCTGACCAAGTCGGCTTTATGATGCAAGGATGGTTCAACATAAGTCAATCAATATAAAACACTATATTAACAAAGTCAAGGACAAAAACCATATGATCCTCTTGATAGATGCAGAAAAAGCATTTGACAAAATTAAACACCCATTCATGATAAAAAAAAACCTGCAAAAAATTGGAATAAGTGGTCTATATCTCCACTTAAATGCTATCTATGAAAAACCAACAGCCAACATCGTATGAAATGGCCAAAAACTGAAAACTTTCATGTTCAAATCAGGAACAACATAAGGATGCCCACTATCATCACTTCCTCTTTAATATAGTTCTGGAAACATTAGCCACAGCAATTAGGCAAGAGAAAGAAATTAAAGCAATAAAGATAGGAAAGGAAGAAGTTAAACTGTCATTATTTGCTGATGATATGATACTCTACATTGAAGACCCAAAAAATTCCACCAAAAGACTTCTAGACGTAATTGACACTTTCAGCAATCAGTGAAATCTAGTAGCTAGATACAAGGTCAACACCCCATAATCAACAGCCTTCTTGTACACAACAGACTCACTGAGAGAGAAATTAGGGAAACAATTCATTTCATAATAGCATCCAAAGAAATGAAGTAGATAGGACTCAATCTAACAAAAGAGGCAAAAATACCTCTACCATGAAAACTACAGAACTCTGAAAAAAGAGATCAAGGAGGATATAAGAAAGTGGAAAGACATCCCCTGCTCCTGGATAGGAAGAATCAACATAGTCAAAATGGCTACCAAACTGCCACACTACCAAAACTGCTATACAGATTCAATGCAATGCCAATTGAAATTCCAACACTATTTTTCACAAAACTAGGAAAAAGAATCCAAAAATTCATCTGGAACCATAAGAGACCTACCTAGAATAGCAAAAGCCATCCTAGGCAACAGAGACATGGTAGCACATATAAAAATTCCCAGTTTGAAACTATACTACAAAGCCACTGTGAAAACAACATGGTACTGGCAAAGAAACAGACCTGAGGATCAGTGGAACAGATTGAAAGACACAGAAACAATTCCAGATGTACTCAGCTACCTCCTCTTTGACAAAGGAGCTGACCATCCTTGGTGGAGAAAAGATAGACTCTTTACTAAATGGCGTTGGAAAAACTGGATCTCAACCTGCCAAAGATTAAAACTGGACTCTTATCTTTTACCATGCACTAAATTAAAACTCAAGTGGATTAAAGATCTAAATATTAAAACAGAAACACTAAACTTGCTGGAAGATAAGTAGGCAGAACTCTTGAAGACATTGGCATAGGAAAAGACTTTATGAGCAAATCCTCAGCAGCATGGGAACTAGCAGATAGAATCAACAACTGGGATCTCATCTTATTAAAAAGCTTCTGCACTGCAAAAGAAACCCTCAACAGAGACAACCTACAATGTGGGAAAAAATTTTACCAGCTGCTCCTCAGACAAAGGACTATTATCAAGAATATATAAAGAACTCAAATCAATCAGCCCCCTCCCAAATATAAAGACCCGATTCAAAAATGAGCATCTGAAATGAAATAAACAGACATTTCTCAGACAAAGTAAAAGCAGCAAGTAAATATGTGAAAAAATGTTCCACATCACTGGTCATTCGAGAGATCCAGGTGAAAACAACACTGAGATTTCACCTCACCCCACAAAGAATGGCTGCTATGAAGAAATCACACAATAACAAATGTTGGCGGGGTTGTGGGGAGAAAGGAACCCTTCTTCATTGTTGGTGGGAGTGTAGACTGGTGCAACCACTGTGGAAATCAATATGGAGATACCTCAAAGTGCTGGGACTGGAGGTTCCATTTGACCCAGCCATCTATCTGCTGGGTATCTTTCCAAAAGCATTAAATGAATCATATCACAGTGATATATGCGCACCTATGTTTGTAGCAGCACAGATTGTAATAGTTAAAATTTGGAAACAGCCCATTTGTCCATCAGTTGGAAACTGGATACATAAGATGTGTTTTTTTCTATAAAATGGAATATTACTCAGTCATAAAGAATGAGAAATTAGATTCATCCATAGGAAAATGGATACATATTGAGGATATACTCCTAAGTGAAACAAATAAGTCACACATGTATAAATACCTAATAGTTTATCTGGTGTGAATAGTACATAAGATACTAATGATATAATGGACAATGTGAAATAGGAAGAAAGGGGCTAAAGTGGGATGGCTAGGGGCAAGCTAATAAGGAAAAAATATGGGAAAATGAAAAAATGGAAATGAAGAGTTTGTAAATGGGGAGGGGAGGAGGGCTGAAAGGAGGGCAGGAACAAGGGGAAAAAATGAGAGCCAAGACCTTTCATGTAAAGGTACAAGATCCCAATAATGAATATAACTGTACTCTGTACTTAAAATGTACCAATAAACTCAATGAGGATAAAAAAGAAAACAGAGATTCCACCTCACCCCAGAGCGAATGGCTGCTATTATGAAAATCAACCATTAACAAATGCTGGCAGGGTTGTGAGGAGAAAGGAACCCTCCATTGTTGTGGGAGTGCAGACTGGTGCAACCCCTATGGAAATCAATATGGAGATACCGCAAAGAACTAGGATTAGAGGTTCCATTTGACCCAGCTATTCCTCTGCTGGGTATCTTCCCAAAAGATTTAAAATAATCATACCACAGTGATTTATGTGCACCCATATTTATAGTGGTACAGTGTGTAACAGCTTGGAAACAGCCCAATTGGAGGCTGGATAAAGAAGACCTGTTTGTTTTTTTCTATAAAATGGAGTACTACTCAGCCATAAAGAATGAGAATCTAGATTCATTCATAGGAAAATGGATACACATTGAGGCCATATTCTTAAGTGAAATAAATAGGACACACATGTGTAAATACCAAATAGTTTCTCTGGTATGAAAAAGTAAAAGTGCAAATAAGGATAAAAATGTATAATTGATAACGTGAAATGGGAAGAAAAGGTCTAAAGGAGTAGGAAGGAAGGGAAAGAAATATGTGAAAAGGAATAAATGGAAACAAAGTCTTTGAAAATAGGGAAGGGTGGAAGGGATAAAAGGAGGGCAAGAAAATGGGGTGGGGAGAGCTAAGGTAGATCATGTAAAGGTACAAGATCCCAATGATGAATGTAACTGTATTGTATACCTAAAAGTGACCAAAGAACTCAAGGGGGGAATAAAAGAGTCCGTGTCTCATAGGTTGTGCTGGGTGGTCAGGGAAAGATCTATGAAGTCCTTGGGGATCTAGAGAGAAATGAGGAATTTGAATTTGGGATTGTTTTTTCAGTACTGGGGATTAAGCTCAGGTCTTTCACACTGAAGTATACCCCAGGACTCCTAAACCTTTTCAAAACTGAAACTGAAACTTTACAGGTTTCAGTAAGTCACTAAATTCCCTGGGTTGGTTTTGAATCTGTGATCCTCCTGTCTCAACCTTCCAGAGTGCTGGGACATTAGGAGCACGATGCCTCAACTAATTGATTCTTGAGCATTATTTCAGGAAGCCTAATTATGAAGGGTACTCCACTGAAAACTTTATGGGCCTGGCACACTCTGCAATCACAGGGAGGATGTTGCTTCTCTCTTGGTAGTGTTGTAAATGAACAAACTGCAACGTTGGCTGGAGAAGGGTTAAAAATAAGACAGCTAGCTGGACTGAATGTCACACAATTATAGTCTCAGCTATTCGGGAGGTTGGAGCAGGAGGATCTCACATTCCAGGCAAGCTTGGGCAATTTAGCGAGACTGTTTCAAAATGCTATTTTAAAAAATGTTCTGGGAGAAAGGACAAGGAAAAAAATGAATAGAAGGGAAAAGTGGAAACAAAGCTTTTGTAAATAAGGAGGTTAAGAGGAGTTGAAGGGAGAAGGGAATGGGAAAAAAAAGAAGCAAGATATAACATGTACAGGCGCAATTTTCCTAGGATGAATGTTATCATTACGTGTAGCTAAAATGTACCAATAAATGTTTTAATTCAAAAACAAAATGCTCCCAGGCCAAGGATTTAGCTCTGTGGTCTGGTGCCTGCCTCACAAGCACATGGACCCGAGTTCGATCCCCAGTACCAAAAAAAGAAAAAATGTGCTCAGCACATCTGGGTTCAATCCCAAGTCCCCTTCCCCTCAAAATACTCCTGCAACTTCAATTTTAGTTACACTACTTGTTACCTCCGTCACCCACTCATTGTGGCTCTGAGCCTCAATTTTCCTCTTTCAAACTGCATAACAATGAGATAAACACATGTGCTGTGCCCGGACCAATGCCAGTTCAACAGGTGCTTGATAAGGACCCTGTTATTACTGTCTTAGGAAGGGAGCTTCCAGTCTGAATGGTTTCATGTGGTTTGGGGTACACTGTGCACCTCGGAATCAGACCTTTATAGTTTTCTCCTGTAGGTTGAGTCTCACAGCCAGCTCTTTCCGAAGGTTCGTGTCTGGGAACATGGTCCTACTAAACAGAGCCTCCAGCCCTTTGTGCTGCTTTTGAGTGAATGAGGTGCGTCCTTGATGTGTCTTCAAGATGGCTGTAAGGAAGAGATGGGGGTGGTTACTCATGCTACCTCTATCCCTAGCTCAGTAAAACAAGAAAACAATCACACCCCAAACCCTAGCTGTGAGTCTCCCCTGCCTGCCTCTCAGCCACACTCGGGATCCAGAAGACAAGAGACCCCAGGCCGTGGCTTTGAATGGCTGAGCCCCTATAACAGTACTCTGTCATCTTCCCTCGCTTATTCAGGAACCCTGTCCATCTGCCCTGGAAAATATGGTTTATCTCTTTAAGGACTTCTAAGACTGCATTCACTCTTGTGGGAAAATAGTCATAAGAAATGAAACATAACTCAATACGTGAAGACGGAGAAACAGAATTTTTGGTTGTTGTTGGTACTGGCGATCGAACTCAGGACCTTGCACTTGTGAGGTAGGCTGTGATGCCACTGAGCTAACTCCCTGGTCCAACATATAGAATTTTTAAAAATGCAACAGGGAAGAAAGAGAATGGTGCTTTTAAAGACAACCATTTCTAAAGAAACACCAATACCAGAATTAGCTAAAAAGGAACCACAGACTGAATAATCATACAAACACAGGTCATAGAATGTAGGGCAATGCTGTATTGCCTTTCCTGTCATGCAATCCATTTTAACAAAAGAAAATGTCTTGGGCTGGGGATTTAACTCAGTGGCGCTGCACCTGCCTCGAAAGTGCAAGGTCCTGAGTTGGATCCCCGGTACCAGGGGAGAAAAAAGGAAAAGTCTTCACTTGATCCTCACAACTACGACCTGTAAGAATAAACACTATGAGAAAAAATATAGGCTATGCCGCCTAAGAACATACATGGGAATAGTTTACATAATATTTGTTTACTCATATTTAAATGTACATATTCCTGGAGAGGGATTTAGCTCAGTAGTTCTGCTGCCTGCCTCCCAAGCACAAGGTCCTGAGTTTGATCCCCAGCCCCCCTACCCCCAAAACATCCAGCTTTAAATGTACATATTCCTAAATTTATATCATGTTTGAAATCCACTTATATGTCTTCAAAATCAAATACATAAAATAAGAATTCAGAAATATTGATTTTTCTTTTTACATTTAGTATAATTATTTTACTACAACTCTGTTTCTGTTACCTCAAATAGCTATTATCTTTATCAGCACTCTGATCCTATTTAATTACATGACATAGATTTACCAGGCACAAAATCTTTACTTTAAATAGGGGAGGGTGAAGGGGATGAAGGTAGGGCAGGGGAATTGGGAAAAATGAGAACTGAGACCTGTCTTGTAAAGGTACAAAATCCCAATGATGAATGCAACTGTACTATATACTAAACTCCGTAAAAAGCCAGGGATTTAGCTCAGTGGTTCCGCCACCTACAAGTTCGATGCCAGGTACAAAAATAAAAAAGAATTCAATTAAAAAAATAGGTTGTTAGTAGTACAGTACCTTTGGGATGTGGGTTTAGAATGCTATCTTTGGGAATTTTGTTCTAAGCCAAGAGGACTTCACTTACAGTTGTAAGATAACTGCTCTCCCAACCCACTGCTACACATATATTCATCCTGCAGAACTGTATTTGTGATTTTCACAACCTAACTACCTACCACATATTGATTCATTCATTTGTTTAGATAGCAGTATATGCAAATAGTACAAAATTGAAATGATTTCAGTTCTCTAGCCTCCCAGTTACAGGCTAGAGCTGTTTAAATCAGTAGCCGCTGCTGCAGATGACCATTAAGTACAGGAAAATGCAACTGATTCCACTCAAGTACTGGATTTCTTTTTCTTTGGTTCCAGGGATCAAACTTGGAACCTTGAGCTTGCAAGGCAGGCTGGTGGCACCACTAAGTTGAATCTCTGGCCCAAGTACTGGATTTCTAATTTCAGTAAATTTTAGTTAATTTAAATTTTAAAAGTGATAATCTGGTTATTGGAAAACTTTTCAGTATGCTTAGAATAGCTTGAGTATATGGATCTAATTTTTCAACTATAAACCCAATAACATCAAGTATTATATTTTAACATCATAGTGTTTATGGTAAAAATTTAACATCTAGATCAAGATATGCTAGTTTGAGATAAGGGTAAAATTATCAGTGGAGGGGCCTGGATTTAGCTCGGTGGCACTGCACCTGCCTCACAAGCACAAGGTCCTAAGTTCGATTCCCAGTACAAAAATTTAAAAAAAAATTAAATAAACTAAAAAATCAGTGGATTTCAAGTTTTAATGAACAGAAGAATGTAAATTACAGCAAAGTATTTAACAAAAATTATTCATTAATGTTAAATTCAATATTAAATATATATTGTCTAACTTTTATGTAGCAAAAGTAAAGATTGAAGCTTTAGATTTAGATGTAAAAATATCTATTTAGCTCAGTGGTTCTGGTGCCTTCCTCACAAATGCAAGGGCTTGGCGTTAAATCCCTGGTACTGGGGGAAAAAAAAAACCCTAAACACTAGCTGGGCATGGTGGTGCACACCTGTAATCCCAGCACTCGGGAGGCTGAGGCAGGAGGATTGCTGTGAGTTCGAGACCAGCCTACATAGTGAGTTCCAGGTCAGTCTCGACTACATAGTGAGACTCTGTCACAAAAAAAAAAAAAAAAAAAAAAAAAAAAAAAAAAAAACATAAAAAAATGTATAAATGGTAAGGAGAAGGAAAGCATTGATTTTTTGTGCATATTTTTAGATTTTTGTATACTTTTAAAATTATTATGAGCTTGCTCCTGTATTTGAAGACTCTTTAGCTACTATTGTATTTTTCACCTAAGCTTCACACTTGAATATTGGTGTAACAACCAGTCCTTTCTGACATCTTATGTTTTTATTTTTCTGGAATGGGTCTTGGAGCTGTTTGTGGGTTGTTAAGTTTCCACTTATCCACACACAGCAATGCAGAGGGAGAGCTCAGGACACCACTGGGGCTTGAGAAGACAAGAGCCCAAGCCCCACAGATTCTAAGAAGCATTGAAACTAACTGTGCCTCTGCAGACTCCAGCTCATGAAGGAGCTCAAAGAGTCTGGATAGGTCCAAAATGGGTGGGGTCAAGTCCCACAAGCTCCTGAAGATAATAAACCAAAGCACCCTTCCCAGGGTCTTAGTTACTTTCCTCCAAAATGAGGAAAATGAGACAAAATGCCCAACCCTCAAACTTAGAGGAAAGTTTTATTTGGCTCATGGTTTGAGGAGGCTTTACTTAGTAGTTGGCTGGCTCCAAGGTGGGGTGGCATAGCAGAGGAGCTCTGCAGAAATGAGCCAGTTCACGGCAGGAAGAAAGCAAAAGGAAGCAAGCAGCAAGCAACAAGAGACAAGCGGCAACCCTCTTTCTGTCCCTTATATCTTATTCAGACTATCCACCCTTAGGAGGGTGGATAGCAATCATACCCAGGGTGGGGCAGTCTTAATCCCAGCACTGCACTATGAATTGATCCCAGCATCATACACCCTTGATCCAGCCTCCAAAAAGCCCCAACTATGACCATATAAGGCTTTGGGGGAACATCTAGATTCAAACATATACCTTGCAAATAGAAATATCCCAGGGCTGAGGATTTGGCTCAGTGGCATCCCACCTGCCTTGCAAGTGCAAGCCCTGAGTTGAATCCCCAAGAAAAGAAAAAAAAATAAGGGGAAGAAGGAAATATTCATATTCTGCTGGAAGACATTCTTGAACACAAGTAAATAACACAGACTAAAGAAAAGAAAAGGTTCAGACAGGAGAAGGAGAAGAGGCAGGTCTCTGGTAACTTCAAAAGCAACAAAAAAGAAACCCAGAAGCTGAAAATCTTCCTGGCTTGCCCTTCTCTTATGAAGGTACAGGACATGGTGGTGCACACCTGTAATCCCAGCATTTGGGAGGCTGAGGCAGGAGGATGGCTCTGATTTTGAGGCCAGCCTGAACCACACAGTGAAAACCTGTCTCAAAAACCAAAAAAAACCAAAAAACAAAAGAAAAAAAAAGTATGGGAAAACCCACTTCACACAGAAAAGGCACAACAAACACTAGCAGTTGCTAAAAGGGAAGATAGCCTGTAATCCCAGTACTATGGGAGACTGAGGGGGTAGGACCACAAATTCAGGCCAGTTTAGTGAGACTCATCTCAAAATAAAAACATTTAAAAATGGACTGGAGATATAGTTCAATCTTAAAGGCCCTGGGTTCAGTCCCTAGTACTGCTAAATAAATAATTATTTTAAAAAATCATTCCAGTGGGGAAAAAAAAACAAGCAAAAATACAATTTAGTCTTATATGTAACCAAAATATGTTTCAAAAAAGAAAGCAAAGTAAACTTTTTAAAGCTGAAAAAACTTATACCCTGCTCTGTAGGATATTTTAAAGCACATCTTTCAGGCAAAAGATAAATAGCATGTTATCTATGAAGGACTTGTATTCGTAATATTTGACAAACCCCAACAGCTCAAATGTAAGAAGACAAACATCCCAATTAAAAATAATCAAAATATTTGAGTAAATATCTCAAAGTAGACTGTTAGTGGGCATGTGGAGAAACTGCAGCCCTCGTACATTGCTGGTATGGATATAAGCAGTGAAAAAATAAATGCAAATGTTTAGAAAACAAACTGGTAGAGGGCCAGGGATTTAGCTCAGTGGTTTGGTGGCCTGCCTCGTAAGCGCAAGGACCTGAGTTCGATCCCCAGTACCAAAAAAAGAAAACAAACTGGTAGTGAGACAGAAAAATAAAATGGCTGACATATAGGTGAGAAACCAGTCCAAGATAACATTGGACATGAGCAGTTTTATTTCTTTCAAATTCCTCCTTGGCAGACCCTGCCCTGAACTGATGTGTATTCCAAATATGTATCTCTCTTATCTAGCCAATGTTGCCCAGAGTTTGAACTCGCTATATGCCAATCAGTAATAATGACATCATATGTAACTAATCAACCGCTTGCTTGCCCTGCTTCTGTATTTAGTTCTGGCTTGCAAACCCTATGGAAACTGTAGAGGGACAAAAGACAGCTGCCTGGTTCTTTGAGGAACTATCCTGACCAG